GAGGGGAGACCGCTCCTGTCCCGGGCGCAGACACAGGACCAGGGAGGGCAGCTTGGCTCCTGTCCACTGCCCCCTGCAGGGGGAGGGACCCGCCTGGAGCAGGGGTGTAGACACTCTCTCTAGGCCACCGGTGGGAAATGCTACCTGAGTGCAGCGACCTGTGGTCCCCCGGGACCTCCACACAGGCCCGGATGGCACCAGGGCTGCTTCCATGGGTCCCTGGGAACGGGACACGGGGAAGACACAGGAGTGCCACGTGACCCCAAACGCTGTCCCTCTCACTGGCCTGGTGACAACCCTACTTTTACGTGAGGGACACAGCCTGATACGGGGCAGTTCAAAGCAGGATCCCAGGACCCGGGGGCCGGGCTTATCCCGGAGAAGCCACCGCACAGCCACGTCCACGGAGCCAAGACAGACACGTCAGCACCGGCATGTTAAAATCACTCCCTCACGTGGGCCCCCAGGGCCCCTGCACCCTGAGGCCGGCTCATGACTTCACGGGAGGCCAGGAGCTCGACCGCCAGGCGAAGCCGGAGCGGCCGGTGCACCCAGGTCTCCGCGCCGCCCAGCGCGCCAACCGGGCCACGCGCGCATCTGCTCGCCAGGCTCACGTCCAGGAATCACTAAAGGACCGGAGGATGAACTCCTGTGAACAGGAGCAGGCCAGTGGCAGAGGTCACAGCCACACACACAAAAAAGCCCCCCAAAAACAAAAAACCGAACTGCAGGAAACCTAACAGAAGAGGAGACCCCACTTGCGATGGCAACCGACGGCACCGCTGTTACAGTCCTTATTAGAAGCAAACTTAACGGCCGCTGCCTGAAACTGGCACCGCAGAGCCGCCCGGCAAAGCCCCCCCCAGACACGCCAGGCTCCCCACGCCCACGCATCAGGTGCCACCGTGTGTTTTTTCAGGGAGCAGGACGAGTCGGTTGCGACGGTCACCGCGAAGAGCCGACTAGCGAGGGCTGGCGGGTGACCCCGACGAGGAGCCGTGCGTGGAATTAAATCGCAAAATGAAACAGGTTTCAGCACATGTGTCATCCAAACAGGTGGCCCTGGGATGCGAAGTCGCTCAGACCAGTGGCCCAGGACAGGGGACCCCAAAATGGGCCCCCTGGCACCTGGACGTCCGGTTTATGATAAAATTGCCACCTTACATCTGGGCTGGTTGGTTGGAGAGTTGTCCATGCACCAGGTTTCAGGCTGACCCCCGGCCGGGGTTCGGACACAAGGCAGCCCGTCAGTGTTTCCCTCTCACATCGATGTTTTTCTCCCCTGCCCCCCAATCGATGAACACGTCCTCGGGTGAAGGTAAAAGACAGAAAATGGCACCTCGCGTCGGGGAGGAAACACAGGCTTTTGAATCTATGGTGCTGGGGTCACTAGAAGGCCGGAGGGACAAATAAGGGGCTTCGCTCCTCTCGCCACCCGCCGGGTCACTCCCAGAGCCGCCAGCAAGGGGGGACCCGTCCCGGTGCCCGAAGGAATGCCAGCTGGGATCTGAGCGAGGGCCTCCAGAGGGGGACTGTCCCCAACTCCAGACCCAGAGCTCAGGAGGAAAGACAGGCAACTGCGCCGGGGTGAGCCGGCCGGCCGTGCGGGGATGCGGGGCGCAGAGCCCCCTGGAGCCCAGCCGGCGGGCAGGAGTGCGGTTCTCTCCGCTTTGCAGGTGGAGGGTGGGGCACAAGGAGACGCGAAAACACCCAAAACACGGCGGACAGACAGCAGGGTCAGCCGCCAGCATCCAGGCGGCCGCCAGGGGACGTGGCCGGCCCCGTGCCCACCTTCCCGCCAGCCTCCCAGCCGGGCCACCGGGAGGTGTTCGCTCCCTGGGTCACAGGCCCCGGCGCCCGGCCCAGCACAGACCACGATGTGATTCGTCCTGGCTGAGGGTCCCGCTTGGCCGCTGGCCCGAGGCTGTGGGGGCCTGAGGTCGTGGGGGCTGCCCCAGGCCCCGTCCGAGGGGCGCACAGCTGGCTGGGAGGGGAGGAGCCCTCTGGGGGCTCAGACAGGCTGGGGCAGGAGGGGCCCAGGCCCAGTGTTGGCGATTTCTCCTGCGCCCACAGTGCCCAAGTCCCTCCTTGGGGGCCGGGGACCTGGGCAGGAGGGTGAGAGCCTCCAGGGCAGTGGCCAGGGCCGTCCAGGGGAGGGGGACAGGGAATGGGACAGCCTCAGGGCCCCTGTCCCAGTGTCAGCCCAGTGGAGGGCCACCCAGACCTGGGGCCGAAGCGCAGGCTTGGGCAAGTCCCCGCCAACCGCACCCCCGTTCCTCACACCCACATCCTCACGTCCTTCCCTCCTGGCCCTGCTCAGAAGACACCTCCTCCAGGAGGCCCTCCGGGACCCCAGCCTCGGGCTGCTCTTCCTCAGTCCGCCTCATCCCGGGGGCCCCGCCGGCAGGTATCAGAGCCGGGGGCCCCCACCCCCGGTCCCCGCTATCAGGTCTACAGCCGCCGGCCGGCAGGTGGGGACACGGTGCGGGAGCGGCTCACCTCACCCGGCACCTGCGCGGCGGGAGGCGGGGCCCCGCGGCGCCTGGCACAGCTGTGGGTACGTACCATCCAGAAGAGGGTCCCCGTGGCCAGGGCGACGTACTGCTCGATGGTGGACAGCACANGGGGCGCACAGCTGGCTGGGAGGGGAGGAGCCCTCTGGGGGCTCAGACAGGCTGGGGCAGGAGGGGCCCAGGCCCAGTGTTGGCGATTTCTCCTGCGCCCACAGTGCCCAAGTCCCTCCTTGGGGGCCGGGGACCTGGGCAGGAGGGTGAGAGCCTCCAGGGCAGTGGCCAGGGCCGTCCAGGGGAGGGGGACAGGGAATGGGACAGCCTCAGGGCCCCTGTCCCAGTGTCAGCCCAGTGGAGGGCCACCCAGACCTGGGGCCGAAGCGCAGGCTTGGGCAAGTCCCCGCCAACCGCACCCCCGTTCCTCACACCCACATCCTCACGTCCTTCCCTCCTGGCCCTGCTCAGAAGACGCCTCCTCCAGGAGGCCCTCCGGGACCCCAGCCTCGGGCTGCTCTTCCTCAGTCCGCCTCATCCCGGGGGCCCCGCCGGCAGGTATCAGAGCCGGGGGCCCCCACCCCCGGTCCCCGCTATCAGGCCCACAGCCGCCGGCCGGCAGGTGGGGACACGGTGCGGGAGCGGCTCACCTCACCCGGCACCTGCGCGGCGGGAGGCGGGGCCCCGCGGCGCCTGGCACAGCTGTGGGTACGTACCATCCAGAAGAGGGTCCCCGTGGCCAGGGCGACGTACTGCTCGATGGTGGACAGCACACTGAAGATGAGGCACACCAGGACGATGAGGAAGCTGCAGGACAGGCACCGGTCAGCC